TCTCCATTAGTCAACAGAGAAATTAAAATTAAAACCACAATGAGGGGGCGCCTGGGTGGCACAGTCGGTTGAGCGTCCGACTTGGTTTCGGCTCTGGTTATGATCTCAGGGTCATGAGATTGAGCCTTGGGGTGGGCTCCATGCTTGAGATTCTCTCTCCCTCTGTGCCTCCCACTCACTCTTCCCCTCCTAACTAAAATAAATCTTAAAAAAAAAACCAAAACCCCACAATGAGATACTACCATACATCCATCAGAGTGCCTAAAGTTTTAAAAAGAGACAATGCCAATGGTTGAGAATGTGCAGCAACAGGAACTCTCAGACATTACTCAGAAAATTGGCCCTATCCACTAAAGCTGAACATATGTATAGTTCATGACCCAGGAATTCTACATACAGGTATTCACCTAACAGAATGTGTTCCTATGTTTACGCAAAGACACACATACTCAAGAATGTTCCCATCAACATTTTCTCATTTTTGCGGTAACCAAAAACTGGATAACCCAAATGCCTATCAACAGTAAAATGTAGTGGGCAGCCTGGCTGGCTAAGTCAGCAGAGCATTTAACTCTTGATTTTAGGGTCATGAGTTCAAGTCCCATGTTGGGTGTAGAGCTTACTTAAAACACACACACACACAAGGGGCACCTGGGTAGTGCAGTCAGTTGAGCAACCAACTTTTGGTTTTGGCTCAGGTCGTGATCTCAGGGTCATGGGATCAAGCCCAGCATAGGCTCCATGCTCAGTGTGGAGTCTGCTTGGGATTCTCTCCCTCCCCCCCTCCTACTCATGTTTCTCTCTCTCAACTACATAAATCTTTAAAAAACACACATAATATAGGGTACCTGGGTGGCTTAGTCAGTTAAGCATCTGGCTCTTGATTTCTGCTTGGGTCATGATCTCAGGCTCCTGGGATCAGGCCTGTGTGGGGCTCCCCGCTCTTCGGGGAGTCTGCTTAAGGATTCATTCTCTCCCTCTGCCCCTTCCCCCACTTGTTCTCTCTCTCTGAAATAATGTTTTTAATAAAGCAAATTCTAAAAAACACACAATAAAATGTAGTATATTCATATAATGGAATGTTACAGGTAGAATGAATGACCTACAAGTACACATAACATGGATAAATCTTTTTTTTTTTAAGATTTTATTTGAGAGACAGAGCAAAAGAGAGCATGAGCGGGAAGGAGGAGCAAGCTCCCCAACTCAGGGCTCAATCCCAGGACCCTGGGATCATGACCTGATCCAAAGGCAGACGCTTAACCACTAGGGTCCCTCATGGATATATCTTACAAATAAAATTTGAGTAAAAAAAGCAAGACAGGGACGCCTCTCTCTCTCTAAAATAGAAAAATAATTTTTTTTTTCTTTTTTAAAGCAAGTCAGGGGCGCCTGGGTGGCTCAGTCGTTAAGCATCTGCCTTCGGCTTGGGTCATGGTCCCAGGGTCCTGGGATCGAGCCCCGCATCGGGCTCCCTGCTCCGCGGGAAACCTGCTTCTCCCTCTCCCACTCCCCCTGCTTGTGTTCCCTCTCTCGCTGTGTCTCTCTCTGTCGAATAAAGAAATAAAATCTTTAAAAAAATAAAAAATAAAGACAAAAGAGTGTATGATGTATTATTCCATTTATAATCCAGTTCAAAAAACAAGTTAAACTAATTAGAAGTCAGGACAGTGGTTACCCTTTGTGGGGGTAAGCAAGAAGTGGACCAGGACCCTAGGGTTCTGGAAACGCTTTTTCTTGGTCTGAGTACTGGCTGTATGAGTATGTTCACTTCGTAAAAATTCAAGGACGTGTACACTTGTTTGCACTTTTCTCTCTGATAGGTTTTAATATGTTAAGTAAATGAAAATTTTAAAATAAATAGAGATGTGTCTGACAGCCCCAGCCTGGGTTTACTTATGTATATGAGAGCATGAGATTCTCAAGGGCGAAGGCCTCATGTAAAAAACTTGGCTTCCTCAAAGAGAAATGGACCAAAGGCAGTGTTCAGTTTAATGACATGCCAGGTGTCTCAGGAGCGGTCATGAGGTCAGAGTGCACACAGGATAGACCAAGGGATGAAAACCTCCAAGAAGGGTTTCTGTCATCTGACTTAGGGAGGAGACTATACCCATTAAGTGTACCCATTTTTTTTAAGTAAGCTCTACCCCCATGTGCGGCTTGAACTCACGACCCTGAGATCCAGAGTCGCACGCTCTACCAACTCAGCCAGCCAGGTGCCCCAAGTGTACCCATTTTTGAACTGGCAATTTCAAAAAGAAGTTTGTTTTCCGAATAGTGGGGACCTGTCACTGGCTTTCCTGTGACACACAAGGCTTTTTTTTTTTTTTAATCTCTGCTGAAAAGTTATGCAGAGAAAGAGAACGTAAAGGGCAAACCATCAAATCAGGGCCACAACTCCAGAGGGCACACTCACATAGATTATAATGGACTTGCCCGCCGTGTGCAACAGGTGCCTGGGGTTGAAATAGTTGTGTGACCAAACAAAGCCCTTAACCTCTCAGGAGACTCAACTATGTGAAAAGAATCATCTTCGGGGGGGGGGGTGGACGGATGGGCAACACAGGTGCAGGGGAGTGGGAGATGCAGGCTTCCAGGTGTGGAGTAAGTCACAGGGGTAAAAGTGACAGCACGGGGAATACAGTCAGTGCTCTGGTAATACTGTTGTGTGGGGACAGACGGTAGCTACGCTTGTGAGCAGAGTGTATGCAGAGGTTGAATCATTATGGTGTACACCTGAAACTAATGTCAAATAAAACATTTATTATTACTATTTTTTAAGTAATCTCTATGCCCAATGTGGGGCTCAAAGTCGTGACCCCGAGATCAAGAGTCCCATGCTCTACCGACTGAGCCAGCCAGGTACCCCTAAAATTTTTTTTTAAAGAATCATTTGGGGCACCTGCGTGGCTCAGCCAGTTAAGCGTCTGCCTTGGGCTCAGGTCCTGATCCCATGGTCCTGGGATCCAGGCCCGTGGCTGGCTCCCTGCTCCGCAGGGGTCTGCTTCTCCCGCTCCCTCTGTGTGCTCTCTTTCTCAAGTAAATAAATAAAATCTTTAAAAAAAATAAAAAGAATCATCTACTTCTCAAAGAGCTTTTTCATGTGCTCTCACTTAATCTTGATGTAAGCATGCTCTATTTGTACATGGAGGAACTCAGGTTTCCCCGACAAAGTTAATTACCTTGGAAATTAACTTAGAAGCTGGCCTGGACTTCAACTGGAAGTTATTTTGTTCAATCCCCCCATTTTGCAGATTGGAGACTGAGGCCTAGAGAGGAAAAGAATTCAATGAAGGGTTCACAGAGAGCCAGGTGGACCAGAACCTAAGGAGCTGGGTTTTAGGTGACCCTGGAACCTGAACCATCTCAAAACTTCTGGGCTCTGTGAATCACAGCTGGACCTCTGACCTCCCACTCACCCTTTCCACTCCCACTTGTAGGAATCCTGCTTGTAATGAATTTTGGAATCAAGCTCTCCCTTGCTGGCCTAGGTCTGTGACTCCGCACTTTGTATTTTCTCCCAGGCTAGAGCCCAATGACGATTAGGTGGTTCTGAATGAAATGAACAGGCCAGTCTTAGAATATAGGAGGAAGATTTGTTTAAAAAGGGAGGGGGGAGGGGAAGAAGGAAGAAAGAAAATATATGTTTGTGTGCTCCTAGGAAAATAGCATAATGACCCAAAGCACCACTGCAGCAACCCCTGGGGAGTGCGTGGGGGGCCGGAGGTCCTCCTTGTCTCCCCACCTCCATGGGCCACTACCCTTGCTCAATAAGCAGGCTGGAGCCCCAGCACCTTTGCTTTTGCCGGTGGCTCACCTCCAGTACCCGTCCCTTAATCTTCACCTGGCTGTTCAGATCTTTGCCCCTCCCCTAACTTCATCCAGAGAGGCCCTGACACTGCTCATGGCGCCATTCTGATTTTATTGCCTTTATAACACTCATCACTACCTGAAAGCTTGTGTATTTACTTGGTCTGTGTCTGCCCCACTCTGGTTCCGTGAAGGCAGGAATCCTGTCTGCACCGTCTGGCAACAGAGCAGACCTACGCTCAATGAGGAGTGAGATTGGGCTTTTGCTTTTTACTTTGTATACTTTGTATTTTAAAACATTTTTGTAGATGATTACATCAAAAGAAAAAAAAACCCAGCTAGGTTACTGCAGAGGACTCTACTCTCAGCAGAATGTCTTGGGTTAGACAAATTTCCAAATGAAAGCAATTCCTTCCTAGTACCGACTGGAGACTCAAACCAGAGAGGGGCAGCGCCTGGCCCAAGTCCACACAGCACTCAGCAAGCCAGGCCGGGACCCAGATCCCCCTCTTCCCAAGTCAGCTTGGGGACCTCCCGGGAATGTCTGGATCCGGGGAAGACGGAGGGGTCTGCGAGGAGTGGAGGGAGAAAGCGCAGAAAGGGGAATAAGGGAGAGGCGGCGAGGGCGGGGCAGGCAGAAAGGGAGGAGAGTGTGCAAGGTGACCCAGAGATGCGGGGGGCGGGGCGGAGGGGGCGGGACGGGCAATGAGAGGGAGACGGAAAGGACCGGGCAGGCTGGTGACCGAGGGCGCTGGGGGCGGGGAGGCAGGTGAGGGTGCGACGGGAGGCAGCGGAGAGGACTGTGGCAGGGTCGAGAGGCCGGCGGAACCGCGGGAGGAGGAGAGGGGCGGGCGGAGGGCCAGGGGCGGGGCCAGGAGGGGGCGGGTCCCTGGCTCCGTGGGGGACGCGGAGCGCCTGCGCAGCTCTCTGGACCCGGCTCTCTGCTCCGGCTTTCTCAGGACTGGCTTCCCTGCGGGTCCGCTGGGTCCGGATCCCGGGAGGCTGGGGACCGGGGGTCCGCGCCGAGCGGTCGGAACGCGCCGGAGCTGGGAAGGGGCCCCCAGGAGGCCGGCCGCAGCCACGTCACGCCCAAGGTCACGCTGCAAATGGCAGCCGTAGAGATTTCGCTCTAACAGCGGGCTACTTGGACTTTGTCCCCATCGAGCCCTGGAGGTGAGGAGGAAGGCCGAGAAATTCAGGCTTGCAGCCCAGAGGCCTCAGCCCCGGCTTCCAGAAATGGAAGACGTTGTGGGTCGGGAGCCAGAGCTCTTTGCTCTAGTCTTAGCTGGGCCCGTGACTCCCTGCGTGGCTTTGGGCGATTTCCCGCCCCTCACTGGGCCTCCATCTACCCACCGGTAAAGTGAGAGGGTTTTTGGATGGCTCTCCCTAATTTCCAGATTGACTTAAATTCATTTCCTTGTCAGACTTCCCCTACGGCTTGCCCCCAGCTTCACCAGCCACTTCCCTTCCTCAGCAGCAACTTGGCTGTACTCTGAAACTCTGGACCCTCAGGTTTCCACTAGATCGCCTGAGATTGTCTGCAATCAACTGTGTGGGGCAAGAAGCTGCACCCAGCCTCCGGACAGCAGGCTGAGGACTGGTTTCTTGTGCACTGAGTCAGTAATCCTTTTATTGGCTCTCCACCTAGGCAGACCTTGTCACTGCCAGTAAAGACAAATCGGAGGCTTAGAGGGAGGACCTGGCTCTCTGTCTGCCTTTGGCCCAGTGCTGTGCTGATTCACCCAAATCAGATTGTTTTAAAATCCAAATTTGTCTAAGCATGATGCAGTAGAAGGGAGCACTGGCCAGAGGCCGGAAGTTTGGGTTCTGGTGCTGGCTGTGCACCTTAGGCTAGTATCTGCCCCTCTCTGGCTCAGTCTTCCCTGATAAACAAGGGGTCTGTCACATGGTCTGCAAGGACCCTGTGTCTTTGGTGTTAACAATAGTAATAGCAATCATAATTGTTTCCTTACCTTGACTTACAAGGCCCCGCCACGGTGGGCCCTGTCTACCCAAAGCAGCAGACTTGCCGTTGACCTACCTCGGGGCCTTTGCACTTGGTGTTTCCAGTGCCAGGAACACTTAACCACCTCCATTTCCTGCATAGTCATTCTTCAGATCTCCCCCGAACCTTGACTTACTTAGGAAGTTCAACACAGATGGGATCCCTGGGTTTATATCCTTATGGCACATGCTGACTTTGTTATTCTTCAGTGTTTGTAGAGTTCTTTGTCTAATATCTGTCTCGTATTCTTTAATGCCTGTAAATGCCAGGAGGCTGGAAATCTGTTCCCTAGCATCTAGCACATAGTAGGTGCCCAGAAATTTGTGGAATGAACAGATGATCTCATTTCATGCAATAGTCTCGTGAGGTTGGCACATCGTGCTCCTCTTCAGTCAGGAGACAGAGATTCAGAGAGTGACACTCCTAGGGTCACACAGTAAGTGGGAAGTGCCTGAATTTGAACCCAGTCAGTCTCTGACCCCAAGATCTGAACTTCTACCCCACTGCCATCTCATTCCAGGATCTTCGGCTGTGAGGACGTGCCACAACTCTGGCCCACAAGGCCTGGAGAGAGAAGACCTTTAGGTGGTGGAGGCGGGGTGGGGTGGGTCTTGTCCAGCTCAGTTTCTCTTTAACCCCTGGCGGACTTGGGGTGCACTTGCCCCGCTCCGACAGGCCCATGGCGCATCGGCTGCAGATACGACTGCTGACGTGGGACGTGAAGGACACACTGCTCAGGCTCCGCCATCCTGTGGGAGAGGAATACGCCACCAAGGCCCGGGCCCACGGGCTGGAGGTGGAGGCCGCCACACTGGGACACGCCTTCAGGCAGGCCTACATGACTCAGAGCCACAGCTTCCCCAACTACGGCCTGAGCCAAGGCCTCACCTCCCGCCGGTGGTGGCTGGATGTGGTCTTGCACACCTTCCACCTAGCGGGTGTTCGAGATGCCCAGGCTGTGGCCCCCATCGCTGAACGGCTGTACGAGGATTTCTGTAAGCCGTGCACCTGGCAGGTGTTGGAGGGGGCCGAGGCCACCCTGAGAGGGTGCCGAGAACGAGGTCTGAGGCTGGCAGTGGTCTCCAACTTTGACCGGCGGCTGGAGGACATCCTGAGGGGGCTGGGCCTGCGGGAACACTTTGACTTTGTGCTGACCTCTGAGGCTGCCGGCTGGCCCAAGCCTGACCCCCGAATTTTCCACGAGGCCTTGCGGCTTGCTCGAGTGGACCCGGCAGGAGCAGCCCACATTGGGGACAGTTACCACTGTGATTACAAGGGGGCCCTGGCTGTAGGGATGCACAGCTTCCTGGTGGTTGGCCCAGAGCCTTTGGACCCTGCAGTCAAGGGTTCTGTACCCCAAGAATGCCTCCTCCCCTCACTGTCCCATCTCCTGCCTGCCCTTGACTGCCTGGAGGGCTCACCTCTGGAACTTTGAGTCCGACGAGGGAAGTCGAGGGAAGTGGCTCCAGCAAACTAGAAAGCTCCTTCCTTCCTGAGATCAGGCCTTTGCCTCTCTCCCTGTGGCATCCAAATGCATCCTGACTATAAAGCAGTGAATGCAGGGCTTTGAGCCCTGCTCCACGCCTCTCAGGTGGTTTATTTGTCACACCTGTGTCTTTCCCCTCCACCCCCACCTACAAGATTCACTGAGGGCCCAACTAGCTTCAGAACCAGGCACATTCAAAAATTTGTTTTAGCAGCAGGGCCCTATTGTTACGGGAGATCTTACTGGAACCCCAATATGCAAAACAGCAAAAGCAAGAAACTTCTAGGGTTGAAACAGGTTCTAGAGCCCCACAGTCGGGCCCTGAAGCCTCTACAACTCCCCGTGGGAAGCAGATTGGAGGAGCTTAGTTTGGAAAACTGGGGTGCTAAGCTGTGCTGTAGGGACATGTCCTCTAGGACTATACAGTGTAAACAGGATTTCAGACAAGGAGGACCACAATTATATCATGAGAAGAAACTTCTTTCATGCTTGCCATGTGTTAGTCCTTCACATGCAGGTAGAACCCTCAAAGCTACCTAATGGGCAGAGGCAGCGGGACCTGCACTTCACAAATGAGAAACATTCAGAAGTTAAGTAGCCTGCCTTCCGTGGCAAGGAGAGCTGTGTCCCTTGAGACAGCGCAGTGGCGATGCTGGGAGAACAGGGAGGGTGTTCCACAGGAGGCCGGTTTTGAAGAGCCCCCGAGTCACAGGTGTTCACATGGAGGTAGGGGGGCACAAGTAACGGGGACAGGAGCTTGAGGCGGCAGGAGTGTAGGATACACGCGGGGAATGACTAGAGACTGAAGGAAGTAGGCTGGGTTTTAAAAATTCCATGTCCCTTCCTGCCTCTCCCTTCTTCGCGCTCCTCCCCTCTCACACCTGCTTGGTATTTACCAGACGCCTGCCTTCCTTGCCTACTGCCAGGCACATACACGGTGTTGGGTTCTGGTGCCAACCGCTGGGGAGGGCTCCTGAGTGGCCCCGAACTGCGGTGACATTTAGGTGGGCAGAGAAGTAAGACGCCTTCCTGGCAGGTGGCCCATGAACTATGGACTGAGGGCTGCCATGGGGAGTTAGATTGGCAATTTGGGGAGCATGGTGTGGGGGGTGCCTCCGGGTGCCGGGCGGAAAAGGTGGGCTTTGACCCAGGACTCTGGGCAGAGATTGTGCCCATGTGAGGGGAGGGAGGCTCTTCTCAGACTTGGCCAAACTTCCGGGTTGTGCGAAGCCCAGGTGACATTAATTCCCAAGTATCAGGCAGTGAGGACGTGGGTTGAGCTGTGCTCTCGGAGCTGCAAGGGCCTCAGAAGTACCTGAACCAAAAAAGTTGCCATTCAGGCTGTGGACTGGATCTGATCTACCCAGTGTTTGGAGTAAATTATTGAGCAAGCTTAAGAGTGGGGAGGGCTCTGGCCCTTATCTTTGAGCCCAGGGGCCTGAAGTTGTAGGTAAGATTGCCTCTGAACTGTGTTCCTAAGTAAAACAGGAATGTGAGGACCACTGTTCTAATGTGACCTCAGAGAACGGGAAGGGACTTGCCCTGGGTTCCAGCAATGCAGGGCCCAGAACCGTCTTGGGGCTCGTGTGGCTGTGTATGCTGAGCCGGGAGTGCGGATGAGGGTGAGGAAGATCTCTCTTTCCTAGCAGGCGTACCTCTTTAGATGTGAGCTGGCACTTGGGAGATTTGCCCAATTTCCCACAAAGAACATGGAAGAAACTTTCCAATCTTTTAAAACCTTTAATAACAGACGTGTTCCCTACGTCTGGCCCTCCTACTCCCTCAGCTCTCTGGGGCTTAAAGCCCTCACTCCGGGTCTCCACATTATGTCAGGGGGGCCACAAGCTGCGGCGGGGGGGGGGGAGTTTTGGGGGTGTTGCAGTCAGGTTACCTCCGGACAGGATCCCCTCAGTCTCCTGAGCCTCCAGGCTGGACCTGGTGGGGGGACACAGCCCCCCCAGGCCAGAGTCTTCTGGCCAAGAACAGCCTCGTGGGAGTTCTGAATCAAAGCCAGGGACAGAGGGCTGGAAGGCAGTGCTTCTCCAGAAGAGTCTACCACACACACCCAGGCACCTTTCCATCCACCCGTTCGCTTGCCAAATATTTATTGCACAACCGGTAGGCACCAGGCACCATGCTTGGTGCCAGACATGACGTGGTGAACAAGACACCCTTGGAGGGGCAGATGCCTGGTGGATTTGGGAGACTAAGGCCCAGCGGGTAGCAGGCTCCCCACAGATACCCAGCATGTCACGGCTGAACCCAGACCTGAAATGGATCCCCCACCCTCCTAAAGCTGCCCATCGGGCAGAGGCAACATCGGGGCGGCGGGGGAGACACTGGGTAGGAACATGGCCTGGACGCGTGCTGGGGAGTAGACCAGGGCTCCCGGTGGTCGCGGGTCAGCGGATGATGGAAATGGTCTGGTCGGCCACCGCAAAGACTGGGAAGAGGGGCCCGGAAAAGGGCACGTGGTGGGTGTGGAGCACCGTGCCAGAGGCCGGCTCGTAGAAGAGCAGTTCCTGCGCCTGCAAGTCTAGAAGCACGCCCAGCTGGGTGGGGCAGCGCAGCAGTCCCAGGGGCTCATGCTGCCCATCGTGGGAGAAACGGAACTCCTGGTCGTAGCGGGAGAAGACCCAGGAGAAGGTGTTGTGGCCCAGACGAGAGTCACTGCCTGAGCCCTTGCGGGGCAGCTGGCCCAGGGCCACGCCCACCTTATAGGCACAACTGTTCTGGACGTTCACCATCCAGGTGTGCAGCCCAGCCTGGAAGGAGGTGGCCGCGAGGGCATTGGGCCAGTGGTCAAAGCGCTCGGGGGCATCTGCACAGGCCTTGGACTTCTTGGCATTGAAGGTCAGGGTCCTTCGATCATCTGACAGTTGCAGGAAGGGGCTGACGGTCCTCTCGTCGATACGCACGTCCTCCGTGCCTGCCAGGAAGAATTCTCAGAGTTGCCCAAGGCCCACCGTCAGCCCTAACCCGGTCCTGTCAGGCAGCAAAGGGCTGCCGCACCACCCACTGGCAGCATTACCTCACACAAGCCCTTTACTCTCTCTGAGCCCCCAGCATCCTCATCGGTAAAATGGGGATCAATCGGACTTATCACAGGGTGAACGTGAGGACCAAATGGGATGATACATCTAAAGTGCCTAGCATTAATTAAGTGCTCAATAAGTTGTGGCCATGACAACAATAGTTATTATTAGTCTAAGACCCTCATCTGTAAACTAGAAAGAAGGCCCAGGAAGGAGAAGCAAGTTGCCCAAAGTCACACACCTAGTTGGTGGCAGGGCAAAATGAAGACCCAGCATTTTGTTCCCACATCTAGCACCCTGCACTGATCACAGTGCATTCCAGTTGAGGCCTATCTGCGGCCTCCAGATCAGATCTGTCCTAGGGGCAAGGCCCCCGGGAGCTAGGAAGGACCAGATCCGTACTTTCCGTACTTTCCAACAACTCACTGAATGGGACTGCGGGCAAAGCAGGCGCACTCTGATAAGAGAATGCAGAGCAGACAAGCTAGAGCTTGCACTAAACATTTAAGGCTAACACCCAAGGGAGGAGGGTTAAAACTGAGGAAAAATTCGGGGCGCCTGGGTGGCTCAGATGGTTGAGCGGCTGCCTTCGACTCAGGTCATGATCTCAGGGTCCTGGGATCGAGTCCCACATCGAGCTCCTTGCTTAGGGGGGAGCCTGCTTCTCCCTCTTCCTGCCACTCCCCCTGCTTGTGTTCTCCCTCTCTCTCCCTCTGGCAAATAAATAAAATCTTTAAAAAAAAAAGCTAAAATATTAAACAACAACAACAACAACAACTGAGGAACAATTCAATCCATTACCCTAACCTCTTTGTGAATTGTGCAAACACCACAACCAGGAGCACAGAAGCTTCCACCTAGCTTGGGAGATTCTGCTTGGAGCAGTCCCGCACTAAGTGGGAATTCCCGCAGGAGAAGACCATGTCACGTTCACCTCCGTGGCCTTAGCATGCAGCACGAGGCCAGGCCACAGTCGGCCTGAGTTAGTGGTTAAGTGAGTGAGGCGAATCCAGGCAGCTTAATTCTCGCTCCAGATGCTCTCCAGTTGGCCAGCACTTGTATCTTCTTAAAGAGAAACTCAGTTTCCAAGAAATAATACTAAGCTGTCCCACTTGGGCAGGACAGAGCTGTGACGTACATGGACAAGGTTTTTGTTAGAGCCTGCAGAGCAGGCTGGTCTGGAAACGGGAAGGACCTGACCCAGCCGCCCCAGGCCTGTCCAGAACCCTGGCTTCACCGACAAGCCTGCATCTAGCATTACTGTTTGCTTTAGCTACCGTGCCAGATGTTCTATTCCCCAGTGTGACCCCGCGGCACACCCCAGCCAGCCAGCCGCCCAGTTGTTCCCGCTGGTGCAGGGTTCTACCAGCTCCTAACCTGAGAGGGACCCGAGAACCGCTGTCACCCAGAGTTGGGTGAGTCGGGGGCTCCGAATGCACTTCTCATTAAAGTTTAACTTGTGCGATTCCTGAGGATCCAAAATGCCCTCTGCTTCCTCGGTCCTTGTGGAAGGGGGGAAAAAAAGACAAATTCAGGAAGGTTCTGGAAATGGATCTGGATCAATAGAGAGTGATGAGAGAGTGATGAGAAAGGGACAGAAGTAAAATCTTCTTCCCATGAGGGCGACACCAAGATGGGCAGCCAGGCCCCACACAGGAGCCCCCTAAAAAGGCTTGAGCCAAACGGGAAGCAGGGCTCTCCCCTTGTGCCCCCCAGGAGCTTTAATTCCAGCAAGACGGGCAATTTCCAGGGAGGTAAATACTTGGTACCAGTATTAGAACTTGGAGTTGATCTGCTCTGTAGGAGAAACAACCTGCTGGGTCTCCAAGTTAGCAGCAGAACAGGGATGGGACCTAAGCCTCTTACACACCAGTCTTTCCACTCCCCTGTCCTATGTGGAGAAAATCCTGCCTCCTTCCAAAACCTACTGCAGCAAAACCTATTGGTTCAGTAAGAAGGTACAGCCATTCCTCTGCTCTTAAAATGCAAATATCCTTGAGGGATCCCACAAGAAGGGACTATCAGTTATCACCCCAACCATACATTAGTTCCAGCGCTTTGCT